AATCAATAAAATATATATATATATTTTAAAAAGAAGAACTATGATCTTAAATAAGGTATATAAATATTTTTAAATTATCTCTTAAAATTAATTATTTCACAGGGAAAGGGAGGAAGAAATTAAGCTTTCTATAGATTTACCAAATCTACAATTGCTGCCCAGCTGGTTTAGCTCAGAGGTTAAGGTCAACTTATGCACCAGGAAGTCACAGTTCTATTCCCTGTCAGGGTACATAAAAGAGACAGCCAATCAATGATTATCTCTCATCACTGATGTTTCTATCTCTCTCTCCCTCTTCCTTCCTCTCTGAAATCAATTCTATATAATAAAGAGGTGATATGCAAATTGACTGCCACACCCTCACAACAACCAGGCTAGCAGTGCTGTTAGTGAGGGACAACCAAAGGACTGAACAAGCAGGCTGCATGGGATGATCAGACCAGTGAGAAGTCATGAGGGGTGATCAGGCCAGTATGGGGTAACCAGGACAGCAAGGGGGGGGGGGCAGTAAGAGGCAGCCAGGCTAGTGTGTGGGGCAGTTAGGGGAACCAGGCTATCAGGGGTGCAGTTGGGGGTGACCAAGCCAGCAGGGAAGGGGGCAGTTGGGGGTGACTAGGTCAGCAGAGGGGGCAGTAAGGGGTGACCAGGCCAACAGGGAGTTGGGGGGGACAGTTAGGAGCAACCAGGCCGGCATGCGGGGGGGAGTTGGAGGCAACCTGGCTGGCAGCAGGAGGCAGTTAGAGGTGACCAGGCTGGCAAGCAGAGGCAGTGAGGGGTGAACAGGCTAGTCGGGGGGAAGGGGAGGGTCAATTAGGGACAACCAGGCAGGAAGGCAGGTGAGTGATTAGAAGCCAGCAGTCCAGGATTGTGAGATGGATGTCAAACTGTTGGTTTAGTCCTCATGCATGAATTTTATGAACCAGGCCTCTAGTATATACATATATATACTAGCAGCCCAGTGTACAAATTCATGCACATTGAAAGGAAATTAATTAGAAGGAATACTTTATATTGCTATTTGCCCTTTTTCTGTAATAGAAGTATCAACCAAATTCACAATTGGTAATGACAGATCAAAACACACACATGTGATTGGCACCAGTGAGAGCTTTATATGTATTGCACATGTGTGAGTCAACTTATAGATAAATAAACTTGCTTAATTAGACTTGCTTTCTGATGTAGCTAAACTTTTTCCATCCTACTGAAGCACCCCAACTTCTCTATCAGGTATTTGTCAACAACACAGCAGTAAATATTAACAAAAAGCAGATTATTATTGTCGATCACACAGGGAAAACAAAGGGTGAAATATTTAACTGCAGCAGTGTTTGACTATATTCTGCTCAGTGAGAAAACTTGAAGTCATTTTCAAGGTCCACCATTTCTCACTTCTTTTCAGTCGGGTCAAGTTTCTAAGTTTTCTAAATCTCCGTTTTCTGGCTAATGAAAAGAAAATAGGATTCCATCGAGTCTCCTATCTACCTACTCCAAGACTTCTGTGAAGATCAAATGAGATGAGACATTTGGTTAAAGTTAAGGTGACCAGATTTGAACATTGGTAAAGAGGGACACCATTGAAGGGGGCGGGGGTGGGAGGGTGATTAAAAATTTGGTCTATATGGAGCAACAAAAATTTTCATAGAAAGCAAAAATAGTATTGTAATATCTTTTTTAAATTTCAACATAAGTAAAATTTACAAATAAAATAAATTAAAACAATTATGTATAGTCGTGTCACTTTCAAGGCCAGCACTGGATTATACAATATAAATAATATGAGTACTGTCTGCTAAATTCAAGAAAATTTATGTATTTATGAAATAAATAAATAAATTACTTACTTAAATTATCTGAATAGCTGATTTGTAATGACATCACTTATTTAACTAGCTTACTAGCACGCAGTATGATGTGTATTGTCTGAGAGACAGTTACAAAATGTTTTTGTCATTGCCAATCCCCCAAAAATGTTCATTAAGTCCAAACAATGGTGGTCGAATTCTAACACTGATCAACAATGTGAACTTTGATAAGCAGTTCTCGATAATCAGTTCTCAGCAATTATTTGTTATTATTAAAGTTTAACATCATAAAATTAACAAAAATAATATAAAACTCAGATCCTGGCTAAATAGCCACATGGCCACTGAAAACCGTATATTCCCTTCCCATTCTCCTACTGTTCTCTAGCTTGTCGTGCATTCTTTCCAAAAATTGGGACTTGTTTTAAACGCCTTGGGACGCGGGTCAAATTGTTAAAAGTCGGGACTGTCTCGCCAAAAGTGGGACGTTTGGTCACCTTAGGGAAAGTGTGAAATGTTTGCATCCGGCTATAAAGCAAGTCATGTTCCTGGGCTGAAGAAACTGCAAGGCAGCTAGTCATCACTAGGGAGACTAAGCCAGGCATTGCTATATGATGTCATTACCCAACGCCCACAGTGACAGTTTCTGGGCTGGGTTGGGCTGTGGGCCACATTTTGGGCCATGGCAATGTCAGCTGTGATTTGCTGGGGCTCAGGGTGGTGGCAGGGCCTATATCCCACTTTGGGGAAGCTGAGTGTTGCTTTCTGGGCACCAGGACCATAGTGCAGTTTCTCTGTAAATGGCCAGTGTGCATCATGGCAGCTCCGGTGTTGAGTGTCTTCCCCCTGGGGGTCAGTGCACATCATACCAACAGATTGGACAGGTGGAGGGACACTTAGCGTATTAGCCTTTTACATATCCTATCTAATAAAAGAGTAATATGCAAATTAACCATCACTCTGCTATACCCAGCAGCCATGCCCACCAGCCACACCCAGCAGCCAATCAGAGTGAGTATGAAAATTAACCCCATCCAAGATGGCTGTGGCCACACAGAGCAGGAAGGAGGCTTGGGTTTTTCTGGCAATGGAGGAAGCTTGGCTTCCACACACCCTTGCTGGCCCAGGCCTCCACTCCAAGCTACAAAGTTTCTATTATAGAAGATACATAAATTTCAACGGAAATGACCGCCACCATGGAGCGAGCAGAAGGCTTGGCTCTGCTCCAGGCTACAAACTTTCAATTGTAGAAGATAAATAAATTCCAGATACCAGGGCCTCCGCTTGGGTCACTGGGGGGGGGGGGGGGGGGGGGGGGGCATGGCTGGCCTGCAAACCACAATAGGCCCCTCTCCCGGGTCACACCACACCTCAAGGGAACCTCCATCCTGACCTGGGACACCCTTCAGGGCAAACCACCTGGCCCTCACCCATGTGGACACAAGATGGCCAGCAAGGGAGAGTAGTTGAGAGGGACCAGACCTGCAAAGGAGGGCAGTTGTGGATGATCAGGCAAGCAGGGGAGGGCAGTTGGGAGGCACCAGGCCTGAAGAGGAGGGAAGTTAGGGGTGACCAGGCCAGCAGAGAAGAGAAGTTGAAGGCAAATAGGTTAGCAGGAGAGCAGTTAGTGGCAATCAGACTGGCATGGGAGTGGTTAGGGTGATCAGGTGGCAGGCAGAAGCGGTGAGAGGCAATCAGGAAGGCAGGCAGGCAAGCAGTTGGGAGCCAGCAGTCCTGGATTGTGAGAGGAATATCCAACTGCCCGTTTAGGCCCGATCCGGTGGGATCGAATATAATATATATATTCGAAAGAAGAAGTTTAGGAGGCAAGACCACAAAACCATGGTGACAAAATGAACAAGTAAAATAAGCAAACTGGTGGATGATGGAGGAAAGGCAATGACAGGGAAGATGTAGAACATAAAGAAAAGGGAAATTTTAAATATATTATACAGGGAGAGAGGACTGAAGATTGAAATTAGAAACTAATAAACAAATAGGCTACTAAAGATTCTAATAAGGAAATATGATGCAACTAGGGAAAAGGAGTACTGGCAACTTGGTTGGAGGTACTAGAAGATGAGGAAGATGTACCTCTTTCCAAACAACTGGTCTTTTTAAATTATGTTTCTTAAGTTTTGTATAATAAAAGAAGAGAAAAAAAAGTGAACCTTAAATTAGATGTTATAAAATTTGAGAGAACACATCATAAATTCAGAGGAACTATGTGACAATTCATCAAAAAGGCATAAGAAATTGTGTGTTCTGAGTAATACAGCCAACCAAAATAAATTCTTACTTCAAGTAAAATACAGACTTACTATAGAGTACAAAAATAAAACTTTTACTATAGTCTAAGTTTGAGAAATAGTTTCAAAATTTCAGAAATAAAGGTTTCTGATCAACTCACTATGTTTTTGAAACTATATGATGTATTCTGAATTTGGTGAACAGGTGAGTCTCAGAAAATGACACTTTAAAACTATTAAATTTATCTGAATTGGCTAGAAAATTGTCTGGCAGTCTATCAAATGAATGGCAACATGCAGAGATATTGTGGGTGCCTGATGAGGTTCCCCAGGAACCACTATTAATTCAATCTCACTGAATGTAGAAAGTGATGCCCTTTCTGAGGCAGTAACTGCACAGAAATTACATTTTCCAAGTCCCTAGGAGTACAGGCATCAATCTTTTTTATATTTAAGTCAAATGGGTTTTGAGTTTTTGTAACAACTTACCATCATTTGAGATTCAAGTAGGCAGGCCTCCTGCAAAATGTATCGATAGTTAAATTTAACAAGTAAAATTCCTCTGCTTGCTTTGTTTCTGTTTACAGATGAAATGTAGAAAGGAAAGAGAGAAGGAAAAGGAACCCTTCCAATGAAGTCCCAGAGAAGAAGCGAGTGGGAGACATGGAAGGAGAGGACAGATGGTTCCTCAAAAATGAGTCCACGCCAGCTTCTCAGTCTGTGGTGCATGTTATTGTGGATTTGAAAATTCACTTCCTCCGGTGAATTATGTAGCCAATTAAATGTGAGCATTTTTTTATACCTTATCATGTTTCTAATGCAATGGGATTTGACATACGTGAGGAATACAACATATAAATCCCAACTTTCATTGAGGAACTTACTTTTTCTTCTTTTTTCTTTTTTTTTCTTAAGATACCATTGAATAGAAGTTGTGGAAGTGGACATCTGTGCTGGGCCAGCTCAGCCAAGGGTTCGGCAAGCCTGAGGGAGGGCTGGCGAATGATGAAGAAAAGACAGACAAAGAGAATAAGCTGGGTCTAGGTGGATCTCCTGTGCCTGGCTGAGGCCACAGAGAAAGATCCAGATGGCAAGCTGAGCCTTTATTTTATAGTCAGAGGTAAACAAGGTAGTGGTCACCATGGTTACAATGTTCTTGTGAGTTTCACTTGTTTTGCTGCACCTCCCATATCCCATTAGCTACCTAGGAAGGACCTAGGGATTGTCATAAGGTCTAGCTTAATTATGCTAAAAGGGCTGTGCCCTCTAAGCTGGGTCTTGTGTCTTTGCCAACAGGTCAGTCGCAGGCTTAACCCTATAGCCACTCCCTACAGACAACCTTCCTGATCTGTCACTATTAAGTATGATGCTAGATGTACATTTTTTTACAGATGCTCTCAATCACATTGACAAAGCTCCTTTCTCTTCCTAAATTCCCTTTTGGTTTCTATTTTCAGAGTAACACATAGTACAAGACAGACACTCTATGTTCCTGTGGGAAAATGTTTGCACATTCTCTCTAGAAATCAAATTAGCTATGTGAATCAAATATTTTTATGCCATATTTTATGTTGATATGCTTATTTCTACTTATCAGACTTAAAGTAATATGATATATGGTTAAAGAGTTATTTAAAAAGATATTAATCAGAATGGTATTCATAATAGTGACATATTGAAACTAGCATAAGGTCAATGTTAAGAGAATGGTCAGGAAAAATATGTTCAAATATAGAAGAGAAAAATATGGAATCATTCCATTTCAATTTTTATATAGAAAAATCCTTATTTTAAAAAATTACAATAAATATCAGATCTGTCCAGGAACTTGGTTTCAGAGTAAAGAGGTGAAGGGACATGATGTTGGTACCAGAGATTGGAATGAAGACTCAAATTGGAATTACAAGACCAGAATTCTGGGTTCAGTGGGGAAGGGGCTAGAACAAAATATTGGGGGAAAGAGAGCCATCAGTTAGAAAAGATAAAACGGAGAGGAGATAGACCACAATACTTGTTTATTTTTTGCTTTAGCTTTGTTATAATCAATAATGCTTTTGTTTTTCTCCTATGTCCCCCCCACCCCCAACTCCCATACCTCATTTCTGGCAACCACCACTCTGTTCTCTGTGTCTATGAGCGTGGTTGGTATTTTATTTGTTTTGGGGTGTTTGTTTTGGATTTTTTTGGGGGGGAGGGTGGTTGCAACAAAAGCAAAAATAGGTAAGAACCTATACACACTAAGAAGCTTCTGACAGCAAAAGAACCCACCATCAGAATGAAAAGGCAGCCTAACGAATGAGGAAAATATTTGCAATCATAGATTTGATTAGGGGATACTATCCAAGAACTCACACAACTTAATAGGAAAAGACAATCTAATTAAAGATGGGCGGAAGATTTGAATAGACATTATTCTAAATTATGTAGAAACAACACAGATGGCTTACAACTACATGGGGAAAAAATGCTCAACACCATTAATCACCAGAAAAATGCAAATAAAAACCACAATGAGGTATCATCTCAGAGTGTCTATTATAAGAAAGACACAAAATAAGTGTTGGCACAGATGTAGAGACAAGGAAACACTTTCACACTGTTGGTGAGAATGTAAATTGGTGCAGCCACCATGAAAAACAATATGGCATAACCTTAAAAACATACAACTACCATATGATCCAACAATTTCATTTCTGGGATTTACTTCAAGAAACTAAAAACAATAATTAAAAAGGCTATATGCACCTCCATGTTTGCTGTAACATTATTTACATTATTTTTTTGGTAAAGTCATGACTTTAATAACTCAGTGCATCAACTACTCCATTTGTAAACATAGAAATATTTGCCTGATGATTCTTACAGAAGTGGCATAAGAATTCATAAAGTTTAGGAGAAACTTTTCCTTAGAAAAAAAATTGTGCAAGTCCAGGATTTTTCCTAAGTTACTAATTAAATGTTAACTTTTCTGCAGAACCATATGGAAATATTATAATCCTCCAGCCTACCACCTGCATTGCAAATAAATGTAGGATAATCTTATCAATTTTAAAAGTACTTATATATGGAAGTCTGGTAATTTCTCTTAATAACTCAGTCCAATATAATATATACTGGAGATAATGTTCATTATGACAACAAAATGAAAAACAAAAGCAGAGCTGGAGATCAATCAATAGGAGATTGCAGTGTAATACATGCCTAGCTAATCGTGAAGAACATTAACTAGTTTATATTGCTCAAATGAGAAGCTTAATTATAAAAAAGATGAATAATGAAAATTTTAGTCCCAAATGAGTATTGTTACCTTAAAAGCCATATTTTATTTTATTATTGACACATACTCAATTTTTGGGTTTAAACATACTGGGTTGTTTTCTGTGTTGACGTTCTCACATGAGAGAGTTCTTCAGGCACCAGCTAATCCTGGTTTATCTCCCAGAGGTCTTTGCTCTTTTTGTCCCTGAGCACTTCTAGCACCCATCACCCCCATCCATCACACACCTGGAAGGGAGTAACAGCAGCAGAAGAACAAATGATATTTTGTTCTTCAGATAAGCTCATAAATTGTGCTCCAGTCCTCTTTTCTTCTCTTTTACTTGCCTCTGCATGCATTAAAAATTGGTAATCTTTCAATTTTTTTTTTACATCAACTCACTTTCCTTCATACCTACTGATCTGTCTAGTAAGTAAACAACTAAAAAAGGAAACTGGTGCCTGATTATCTAAACTTCTATCTCTCCCTCCTCCAGGCCACCCTACGCACCTCCTCAATGGTGTGAATCAACATGAAAATATTTTCCTGGATTTACAGGGCTTGAAAACTCCTCTGCCTGGCATCAATGACCCCACACTCTAACACTTTTATGGATTGGTTGTATTACTTTATATCGATCCTCTTAATTTGTATTCTTTAACAAAATCAATTCCTTTGAATTTCTTAAGGTCAGCAAATTCGATTTTTTTTTTCTTGAAATAGTTGTCTCCCTCATTAGAACTAAGTAAAAAGTCTGCCAATTCTTTTAGACCTGATCCAAATGCTATTTTACCCATGAAAAAATATTACAATCCCTGCAAGTGGAAATTCTCTGACTCTCATCTCTATCTCTCATTATTACCACCACCTTAATCATTATTATCAACATCATCACCATCATCACCACCATCATCGTTATCATCATAATCACCTTTTCTATTATCTTATTCAATTCTGCAAATGACAAAACAAGATGGCAGGCTGAGTGGAGTACTGATTAAGAAAAGTAGGGCATACCAAAAAGCCATAAATCCACTTTCCTTTTTTCCTTTCTATATCTCTATAGCATACTGCTTTGTAGGAAGAAGAAAGTAAACTTGAGGTGATGTGCCTTAAAGAGAAAATTGAGGTGTAGGTATGTAAGATTGCAAGAAAAGGGAAAACCATGATTTATCAGGTTTTCTTGTTCTATAATTCATTTCACTCTTCATTTTCACTAAAACAAGGCAAAACTACCCATATTTTAAATGACAGATTGAATTCTGTCTTCTATTCCCAATATAAAAATAGTAGAGGATCAGCCAACCAGCAAGCTGGCAAGAAAAGAGATCCCCCTCCACCCTCTGTCATGGGTCGCTCTCCCTGCCGTGACGCCTGGGCAGATAGCACTGTGGCCTATGGAAGCTACTGGAATGCACACGCATTTAACCATATGTGTGTATTAGTAACAGATAAGTCTGTCAGCCCATCACTAATACTCATCTGCTGCCTAACACTTCCAACACAATCGGGAATTCACTGGAAACCCAAATAAATGGTCACTGCCCTCAGAAAACTTTCAATATTTTTTAATATGTTTTTATTGATTTAAGGGAGAGGAAGAGAGAGTTAGAAACATCAATGATGAGAGAGAATCATTGATTACCTGCCTCCTGCATGGCCGCTACTGGAGATCATGCCCAAAACCCAGGCATGTGCCCTGACCGGGAATTAAACTTTGACCTCCTGGTTCATGGTTCAGCACTCAACAACTGGCCATGCAGAACATTCACTCTTTACATTGCAAACAGACTTCTCCCAAATAAGTTGTAAACAACTGGAAACATGCAGTGTTTTTAAGAAAATCACCACACAGGGGTGTAGCAGTCAATCTCTTCCATTTGTGGGTGAGTGACCAGGGGCAGAGACAAGAGCATCAAACACATGTATTAAGCATTCTGATATTACATTAGAGTCCCTTGGACAATGCTTGGCACAAACTATCCTATAAAATAAAAGGCTAATATGCAAATTGACCAAAAGGCAGAGCGACGGGTCATTATGATATGCACTGACCACCAGAAGGCAAATGCTTAATGCAGGAGCTGCCCCCTCATGGTCAGTGCACTCCCACAGAGGCTGTGCAGCTCAGCCAGAAGCCCTGAGGGTTCCCAGACTGCGAGAGGGCCCAGGCCAGGCTGAGAGACCCCACCCCTGAGAGCACACATTTCACCCACTGGGCCTCTAGTGTTTTCAATAAGTGACAAGGAACATGTAAATAGCTCCTTGCTAAGGAAATATTTTCACTTCCACTTCTCATTTCACTCCAATTAGACTAGTCTTGGGGTACCATCCCCCAGAAGTTGGTATACAAAGTACCAAAGGTTCTAACTAATTCTACCCTATTTGAAGTCTCTATAGACTCAGTCACTGGTTTATGACAAAAAAAGTAGCAAAGGTGGAGGATTTAGCGTTAAGAAAACTTGGGTGTAAGTTATGCTCTACCATTGATTGAGAAAACCTAAAACATCTGTGAAATGGAAATAATATTTGCTGAATATAATTTCCAGGCACCCATGACAACCACTGGCAGGAGGATGGGGATACCTGAGTTTGTTTTTTTGTTGTTTGTTTGTTTTTTGTTTTGGTTTGTTTTTTTGTTTGTTTTTAATATATTTTATTGATTTTTTTTTTTTACAGAGAAGAAGGGAGAGGGATAGAGAGTTAGAAACATCAATGAGAGCAAAACATTGATCAGCTGCCTCCTGCACACCTTCTACTGGGGATGTTCCTGCAATCAAGGTACATGCCCCAGACCAGAATCGAACCTGGGAATCGTCAGTCTGCAGGCTGACGCTCTATCCACTGACCCAAACC